TTGTTGAGACGGCCTGCGTCTGGTGCGGGGGTGGACCCCCTCCACTCACTGCACACACGGCTCTGTGGGATTGTGGCAGGAGCTGCCTCTGGCCAGGGCCATATGCCAAGGGGGAAGAGTTGGCAGGCGCCAGCTGTACCCTCACCCCAGCCTCTCTGCTATCCCAGGACGCCTTCTACGAGTTCCGCCTGGTGGCCTTTGCCGGAAGCTACATCAGCTACCCCAGCAACACAGTGAACGTCTCCACAGCAGGTAAAGCTCCGTGCTGCCCCGCGCAGCCAGCCGTGTCCTGGCAGGGCGCCCTGGGAACCCTTGGGGTGCAGGGGAGAGACTTCTGTGCTGCCCCCTCAGGTATGGGCCTAACTCTGTGCCCCTGAGCCAGGCAAGCTTGGGTGTGAGGGGCCGGAATGGAAATGGACGTTGTGCCCCAGCGAAGCGCCCCTCCCCACTGGTAGGTCAGTGTCTGGGAGTCGGTTGCCCCCCAAGGGTAACCCTGCACCCTGGTGTCTGTGTGAGGCCTCTCCCTGTCCCCTTCCCAGGTATGGAGGTGTATCCGTCCCGCACTCAGCTGCCCGAGCTCCTGCCGCAGCCTGTGCTAGCCGGTGTCATCGGGGGCATCTGCTTCCTCAGCATGGCTGTGATCTTCAGCACCATGGTCGCCTGCGTCATGAACCGCCGGCGTGCTGCCCGCCTCCAGAAACGCAGGCAAGGTAGGGACCCCGCCCTGGCACGGGCACGCGGCTGCCGAGGCCGGGAGCTTGGCGAGGGGCTGGGATCCTCGCTGGGCGGCCCAGGAACACCGGTGTCATCGGGGGCATCTGCTTCCTCAGCATGGCTGTGATCTTCAGCACCATGGTCGCCTGCGTCATGAACCGCCGGCGTGCTGCCCGCCTCCAGAAACGCAGGCAAGGTAGGGACCCCGCCCTGGCACGGGCACGCGGCTGCCGAGGCCGGGAGCTTGGCGAGGGGCTGGGATCCTCGCTGGGCGGCCCAGGAACACAGTGGGTAATTGGGTGAGCGCGCTCAGTGGGATGAGGGGTCGTTCCCCACGTAGGGGCAAGGGGCTGCAGTGCAGTTGGGGGGCACAGGAGGCAGGGGACATGGGGCTGTAGCCCAGGTTGGGTGACAGACCCCTCTGCGTGGGTGGGGGTGGGGGGAGCTGAGGTCAGGTGGCTGACAACTCCAGTACTCTTGCAGCCAGAGGGGGGAGTTCACAGGGGCGCAGTTAACCCGGTGCCCTGATGGTGGGGCCGCTCTGACTTGGGTTTGATCCGGGCTCATGCAGCCAGTGGGAGCCAGGGCAGGCAAAACAGCAGCCAGCTCCTGTAGGGAGCCCCAGTCCCTGGGGTCACTGATCTGGGGTTACATTGGTGCCATTTCCCTGCATAGACAAGGTGGATGGGCCCTTGATCCCAGACTTTCTCCGCCCGTCGTCTACTGCACTCTCCCAGAGGAGCAAAACCTGCCCAGGACTTGCCCCCCTGCTGGGAGGGGCTGTGGGGCCAGAGAGGTCAAGGGGTTGGGAGGGAAATGGGACACAGGGCCTTTCTAGGGGGCGCCGGCTCTGATCCAGCCCCAGGGCGGTCGGGTCGGTAACCCATCCCCCATGGCTGTCAAGTGGCTGTGGGAGCTGGTGGGATTTATGCCTGTTGCTCACAAGCAGGTGAGCACCCCCCAATCCTTGGGGGTCTGGGGTGGGTGTGGGCCACCGCCGCCGCCTCATCTCACATTTGAGTTGCTCGCCATGTGATCCCCTTGTGTTCTCATGACCTTCCAGATCCACCAATCGTCTTCTCCCCCAACAAGAAGCTTCCACCTCCGCAGTAAGTCCTGCCATCCCATGCCATCGCCCTGCCTCACCCATGCTGCCTGTGCCATGCTGTTCTCCATCGCTTTCCTCATTCACGCCCCGCCGGCTCAGGGAGGGGTCTCGAGCAGGATGGGGGGGACCCTGGAACCTGGCCGCTGGGATGGAGCTGGAGGGGCCACCCCTACACTGGCCACGCTCTGGGGTGGAGCTCACCCCCCCAGCAGTGCAGTTTGACCCTTTCCTCTCAGGGCTGGTGCGGGGGCTGTCTTCAGTTCTTGCAGTGAACGCGCAGGTCGGATTGGATGGGGGAACAAGTAGGCGGG